GTTAATCGCTCATGGTTCCCACAACCCTAGTTGTGGAGTCTAGTTACCAACAATTATATGAACACAATTCATTGTTTTAGATGAAAGAATTATTAACTTATGTAAGAATAATAATAAACCCAGAAATTCAACTTGAATTGCAACACCAAAATCTTCAAAACGAACTTAGGAAATTAAGAATTGTTAAAGTTGCAAGTTAATCTCACAAATCAAGAACTAAAATAAAAGTAATAAAGTCTAACCCCCAAAAACGAGGTTTACATACCCTATTTATAGAAAAAAAGTCCTAAATCAAAAAGGGAAACAACATAAGGAAAGTTTATTCAGGCATGCGTCTTCATTCCACGAGACTGACTCACGGACCGTGAATGGATCTACGGTCCGTGAGTCCCTTCCGTCAGCCAGGACTTAGAAAATATTTCAGCTTCCAAAAATCAGCTTCTCTGAAGCAAACGACGAAACTGTAGGACGGACCGTAGATTCTCCCTCTGTAGCTCCACACTTAGAATCTTCAAAAATCAGGTACTGGAACCCTCGTAGTATCAATCTACGGATCAATAGTACTGTTCGTAGATTGATCTACGGACCGTCAATGGTCACCGTTGTTCCACACTTGGTCTGATTTCCCTGATTTGCCTTCCATGCCTTGCTTGCTGATTTACGACCACCATCTACGAAGCGTCAATGGACCTATGGTCCGTAGATCACCTCCGTAGATGCCCTTTTCTGTATTTCTTTCAGCTGTCTCTTTACTTCCGCGCCTGAACATCTTTCTTGCAAAATATGATAAAAACACATAAAAACCAATACAAAAAGGCCCTAGACACACACAACTTGTAAGTGAAATGTATTAGAAATACCGTAAACTCACGGTATATCAGAGTTCAAAAAGAAAAACTAGCACCTTGATCATGTAAGACATAAACATCAATAAAAAAGACTTTAAGCATACCAGTGATGACGTCTAGTGAATTTTCCTGATCTTAGCAACTAGACGTAGCATATAGATGGATTGAACCTCTGCCTATTCCTAATGTAGTACCTCCTTGCGCAACCCTGCCTGATAGAGCCGCCTAGAAAAAAAAGGCTTTGTTGCCCCCATTATCTTGCTTCCACATCAGACATTCTAATAAAGTGAACCATTTGCCCACACTTATAGCAACCACTTGTTCTACCATGACACTTTCCTATATGGGGGCCTATTACAGTTACCACAAGGTGGGTTCTTAGTAGATCTTTGTGCCACATTACCTTGAGACTTAGAAACCTGAGCTTTGAAGTTCTGAGTACTCTGGAACCTCTGATCATTCATGTTCTTTGGTGCAAGTGCACTAGCTAACAATGAGGCAGGTCCAGATGACCTTTTCTGAAAGAAGGACTTATTGCCATTTTTACTCCTCTGTTGATTGGACTCATGACCTTATGACTTCTCCTTCTTATTTTGGTACTCGTCCCTATCCCTCTGCTTGTCTTCCTCAACCTGTTAAACATACACCATAAGCCTGGAGATTTCTATGTCATTGATCAACAAGGAAGTCTTGCACTCCTTCACATAATTGTTTAACCAAGAGAAAACTTTCTCAGCTTAGATCTAATGTCCGGAATCATCTCTGGAGAATAGTGAGACAATTACACAAACTTGAGACCAA